ATTGACGTTTCAGTTTCTCTCATAAACATTACTCCACTCCAAGCCTAACCAGCATCTTCCAAGTTTCATCCTCTTAACAGCATCCACAGCTCAATATATCTGTCACTTTGTTCCCTTTGCATTTGTGTTCATCTTTTACTCCAATTGATTGGTATAAATGAGCGCACATGAAAGGCAACAGCAAAAAGGATTCTCAGGCAGAAAATCATTGTTATGCACAGAAAATTGCTGAACAAGGTTAAGAGGTATTAAAAAAAGAAGGCTTGGAATGGCGAAAAAAGAATGCAAAAAAAAGACTAAAATCTAAAGTCATCTCGAGTCTGTTTGTTTAGCTGATGATAATCAAATCAATCAGAACGAATTGAAATCTGAGAAAATTGAATTTCCCATTTGATTTAGATCATTTATCGAGCAAATTTTGTTCAACTTGGCCAACAACAGAATAGTAAATCAAAATGGAATTTTGAAAAATTGAATTTTACCCAACATTTTACTTGTCTCACTTTACAATACTAATAAATAAGCAAACCATTTTTTACCTGTTTAATGTTTATCATTTCAGTAAACATTGAAAAGAAGGAAAAGATTGAATCTGGTGAGAAGCAGGAAAAGTTTCAACAAAAACCTGAAACTTTTATTGTTGAGTCGTGTTATTGTTGAATGCATAAACATTTCAACTGCAAAATCTTTGGTCACTAATCTCATGAGATGTGAATAGTCATGAAAGTTGATGAAAGCAAAAACTGTCACTCATGGAAAATATCAGCTCACCATTCAATTGTAATTTTATATTTCCATTTTTTTTCTCTCTCGCATTCAGTTCCATCAAATGAATCTTTTTTCATCTTTTGCCAACCCAACAACTATTCAAGCTGACCTTTTGCCAGGCAAAAAGAGCCATGAAAAAGCTGATGAACAAAATGATGGAAATGCAGAGAAAAAAAGAAACTTTTTTCTTGCAAACTTTATTCATCATCGATTTACTTTTCTTTACCTTTTACATGTTGATAACGATGTAAACGACTTTTACAGTTTGACTCTTAATGTTTCTCACTTTTTGCTCATCATAATCAGCCTTTTCCTCATCACCATCATTATCATTGTAAGCTCTTTTGTACACAAAAAGTTCGAAAAAAAAGGTTTCGAAGAATGTCAAACTTTTCACCTTCAGAATGGATCATATTTCAGTTTGATTCCCTTTCTTTTCCCCTTCATTTTCACCTTGATTATTTACAGCAACTTTTCCTGTCGACATTTTTCTTTATTCAACTTTACTCTTCAACTGTTTAACTCACTTGGAAACTACCTCAAGGTAAACAAACAGTTTAAGAGGAAAAGCTTTCAACTGTCGTGCAACATCAACAATAATTAACGAAACCAAATTTTTCCCTTTCTTTAACATTCTTTTCCATAAATTAGATTCAACAGTTTATTATTCAATTCATCTTCATCATGTGCACAATCATCATTTGTAAAGCTTTAATGAACCGCCGAGACGGAAAAGAAACAAAATCAAACTCGAAACTTTTTTCTCCTTACATTTCAATTTGCTTATCAAACAAAAATAATGATTCAACACTTGACTTTCATTTTCATACTTTGTTTCCATTGTTTCCACTCCCAATCAACGACTAATAAGCTAATGTATTCCTTTCCCTCCCTGGACTGAAACAGCAGTTCTCTTGGTGAGCCTCAGGGTACAACTCATGGGTGTTCAATCATGTTGACTGTTGAAAAGTGTGTGAGAAAAATGTTGGAATGAAATGGAGTTGAAAAATGAAAAGAAATCAAGTGGCATAATTATCCAAACAGAGGAAAGTTCAGTTTTTTCAATTGAACTAATGAACGCCCAACTAAGTGGAAACAAAGGCAATATTGAAATTCTTAATTTCAATGGAAAATTAAATTTGTATTCCAATCTAGTTTCATTCCCTGTTGAATCCTTCAATCCTCAAAAGTCCATGCAAAGAAAAATGCAACCAAATTCTGTTGCAAGTTGATTAAGTCTGATTGTCTTTGATTATAAACTCGCTGGGATTTACTAGATTGTCAGATAAAGCAAATTGGTCGATGCAAAAAAGTGATCAATTTATTGTTTCTACAGTAATACCAAGCAACGCAAAATCATGTAATACAATGCTGACGTCGAGTCGCAAAAGTGGAAAAAAGTTGATTCTAATGAGAATTGAGAGTTTTCTCCTTTTTCCTGTTTTGAGTTTTTCCTGTTGTCGATCAAATTGCGATTCAATGTTATCAATTTTATGGGGAAAACGGTGAATGCGAGGCAATGAGGAAAGGTGATGATGGAACAACTTTTTTTGGAATAAAAATGAAAAATACATTTTTTTCTTTCTTCTCATTCTAATTAACTTTATTTTTCTTTTTGTTTCCTTCTTTTGCTTCTTTTACTTTTATTCACTTTATAATCACAATCTTTCACTTTTTCGGTGAACAATAATCAACATGTAATTCTTTGCTATTATCATTTCCAGTCTACCGTTATCACCATTATTTGATTCACACAATAATCTCTATCCAATAATAATCACTCCCAGAGGCAGGGAGTAAGTTTACTCCAAGAATCAAAGTTGAGTGAATCAATCAACTTCTTTTTGTTTCTTTTTCTTCCTTTTCCCTCCTTTTGCTGTTCACAAGGTAAATAGAAACATGTAATAGATTAAAAACATCATTAATGTTACAATTAATGTTCAACACTAATATCAACTTTAATGATTGATTATTGCGAACACAGACTCATCTTGTATTACCTTTCAGCTAAATTTTCAGATCATTAAAGATGTTCCATTGAAACTCGGCTAATTATCAACATCAACAAGAAAAACTTTTCCCTTCATTTTACATTCCAACCCAACTTTGATTCCCAGACAGAAAAATCTATAAAAGATTTGTTCGTTTCGATTTTCGAAAGATTATTAGAGAAAAATGTTCGAGAGTCGATTAAAACTTTTCCAAACTAAATTAAAATCTTTTCGTGAAGAGATAAACTTCAAACAGACGAAAAAAAGGTCAACTTGATGTTTGAATTGGATCATGCTTTTGCATGGAAAAGTGAAAACTGAGAAATTCATGTTTTTCCATTGACACTGGAATATTCAATTTGAAATAATGTTTCAAACTTGTTTTCACTTAACATTTAAACGAAGTGATAATTTTTTACTTTTACAATTTTAAAAGGTTTCTCGAGCGTTTTAAGCATAAAATGTAATTATGATTAAAAAAGGTAAATTAAACGAGACTAAAGGTTAACGTTTGTGAATGGAAGCATGAAATTGTATTAAATATGAAAATCATGTTGATATCACTTCAATTGGCGTAAAAGATTTGAAATGTTTATCAAGTTGAGCTGACAGATTTTACTTTCATTAGCTGTTAGTTAATTAACATTTAAACAAATGTTGACATGTTGACGATGATTTAAACACAAGAGGCGAAGGGAAAGAAGAAGAAAAAAGATGAAAAAAGTCAATTAGGATTGATAATGGAATCAGTTTATCCTTTTCATGGAATCGCAACATTTGAACAGAAAATGTGATTCTCTAATCAGATTTTTGTGCAGATTAATCAAGACCAGGGTCAAAGTTGAAGCTCCATAATAAAGATGCAAAAGTAAATGGATGAATGAAGAGGCAAAAAGCGAAACACAAGAAGAGAGCAAAAAACAAGAGATTATTGTTTTTCTTGGGTGCAACAGTAAATGTTATTTATATTCAACTAATAAAACATTTTGTCTAAACACAAGCTGACTTGGCAAAGCCAAGGGTTGCGTTTATCCTGCATGGATGATTACGTTTCATTGTAATAACTTTCTTGTTGAGGGAAGAGTAATAACAGTGGAAATGGTAACCAGCAACTTGCTGAGTTTTTGCCCACCAATCATCTTATCATTCACCCTGAAAAGATCACATCTTTGCATCATTATGGCTCTACATTTGGCCAGCTTTTTCTGCTCCTTTATCATGTCTACTAATTGTTTTATAAATGGTTGTCGAAAGTTTTCCTCACTTTTTTCTTCACTTTTTGGTGCAAACGCTCAACACGAATGCTAATGATGCCAACATGTATCAATATGTGATTATCTTGAAATGTTTACTGTAAACATTTCAATGCGATGCAGAAATGTTTTGCTTATTAATTTCGCCTTCTTTTTCCTTTCCTTTTCTTCTTCAAATGTATTATTTTCTTGTAACTTTTATTCACTCCCAGTGAGATTTGCTTCTTTGACTGGTCTTGCCTTTACCTCAAATCTTCATGAATCAACTTCTTTTACCCTTTGCTCTGCGTGAAGTTTTACCAAACCATTTGAATAGTTGGTTGAGTTTGCAGATTCTGTAGTTGAACTTGTTTCGTAATTCGCATGAAACTGACATTTTTCCTGAAGATAATTTTCTTCGACTTTTTTCTTTCGTAGCAAGAATCGTTAGCAAAGCTTTTTCAAGTAAAAATTCAACGTCACAAACTTGGATCAAACTATATTGGAATTTACATGAAGTTTAATTTTTGGAAAATTTTCGTTTTCTGTTTTCCCAGCTATTAATAACTAGATATTTTTTGCTATTTTTCGGCATTTCTTCTCGCTATAATTCGTTAGGAAAAGTATCAAAAGAGAAATTTTGTTTTTTGTTTTTGTGAGCAATTGTTTGAATAAAGGATTGTCAATGAAATTAATCAAATTTTGAATAAACACTTGAAATTGTAATTGAAGTGGTTTTGGTAAAGAAAAAAGTGGAAAAATAATTTTTCATTGTTCACCTAACAAGAGTTTAAATGAAAAATTTTTCCACTTTTTTCCTTCAATTCTAGTTAACATAAAATGATTGAAATTGAAAAATGATATTCAGCCTGAAATAATGAAACAAGCTTATTTCGCCATTGCTTTTGTACAAGTAATTCAAGTAGAGATAATGTTATCGTGTTTCATTTGATTCAGTTCAATGTAAATAAACATCTTGAACTTGATTGAAATGTTGAGAGCTTCTTACCTTTAGCCATCGGTGACACCATTAATATGTTGATACAAGCTGCTCCTTGACCATGACCAAACACAGTCACATTGGTTGGATCACCGCCGAACCCAGCAATGTTTTCTTGGACCCAATGAAGAGCTGCCACTTGATCCATAAGGCCGAAATTTCCTCTCGAACTTCCATCCAAGGCAGGAAAAAATCCTAACATCGAATAACAAAAAAAGCGAAAACATTCGATTGTAAAAAATTCCAAAAGTCGATTGAAATGGAAATTAAAGTGATACAAGAAATTCAAGAGTTGATATGATTTAAGATGCAATAGTACTTTCGATGCAACAGAGAATAGATTTTCTTTGAACTGAATAAGTTCGAGTTAACTAATGGCACAAAAGAATATTTTTAAAGGTGAAACTCCAATTATGCAGCTGATAATTCTGTGTGAATAAACCAACAGAGTAAAGAATATGAAAGTCAAAATAGAAACAATTTTTCATGACCAATCTTCTTAAGTCTTGATTATTATCGTTCATTTTTATTTTCTCGTGTTAATCCTATTGATGCTAATACTCTACTGTTTATCAAAAACTTTGAGCATTTACTGTTTTGTTTCATGGTAAAGAAAGTTTAGTCTAAAAAATAGGTGAATAATATTTTCATTATGATATGTAAAGTATTTACAGGTTATTATGGAGATAAGATGTAATTCTGAGCAACTTCATTCTAAATATGAGCTACTCTTTGATAATAAGGTATTAAAAAGGTGAACCAAGAGACCGAGCAAGAGTGTAAAAAAGATGTATTAATTCCACTCTGTCTCTAGTCTATTCAACTAGTTACACGAGAAAAAAAGGAAACTCAATTTTTTTCGATTCTTTTAGCATCTTTTAGTATCTTCAACCCACATGATCATTATGGTGATAAGAGACTCGAATTACAGTAGAAACACAATATCTCAACTCAATTAGAACTGAATATTGGTTTAGTGATAATCAAAGGCAAAAAGATCTGCATTTACATTCAATTCCAATTCAAAGTTGGACAGAGTTTCTCAAAATGCTAATCAAATGTCAATAAATGCACACTTAACTTGAACTGAAAACTGCTCAATTTCATCGAATCGAACACTTTGATCAATTTTTCCATTTCAATATTTCGATGAATAATTTGAAAATAGAATCGATTTCATTCGACATTTGAAACGTAAAGCATTGTATGAACGAAGAAGAAAAACTAGAAAAAAGAAAATTAAAACTTTTCTGTTCGAATGTTATTGCTGAATAGAGTTTAATCCTGATTTGAATTGTTACTTGCCATGTGAGTGTGAAATGAATGGAGAAGAAAGGAAAGATCGAGGGAAAAATCAAACAATTATAAGGCAAAAGTGCGAGGAATAAGAATTGAAACTAATTTTGTTCCAAAATTGAAATCAGTGGCTTCGTTTTGCTGGTTCATTTCAAGGTAAAGAGTTTAATCAATCAAAAAAATGGGAAACACTAAGGTTGTTCAATGTTGAAAGTTTCATTACTGGGAGTGTTGCAGTTGCATTTAATGTTTGCCTGTTATAAATTGATAATAATAGTTGCCTTAGTTTGTTCAACTTTAAACTCTACTTTACTGTTTACTCCTTTTCGTGGCTTTTCATTGTAATCAATTGAATATTTTGTTGGCAAAGTGATTCAATTGAAATGAAATTATTATTGTTTTGACCTTTTTCCTTCTTCCCATTTCTTTAGTTTTGCCAATTTAAACTTACTTTTTACGCATTTTGTGCTCTACATTTAAACCAATTTTACATGATACTTGTTAATGAGATGAATAGTTGAAATCAATGGAGAAACAAAACGAAAAGTACAACTGAAAATGAACATTAAATGAATTATTAATAAACTAGTTTTTACGTTCAGTTTTATTTATTGTTTTGATTTGCTTACCATGGAAATTGATTTCATTTGAATTGTAAATTTGCTTTCCTTTACCAAACATTTGCTTACAATATTAAGATTTTGTGCCTTTTTTGTGAGCATCAAAGCTTCAAGTCTTGATTGAAAAGAACGAAGCAAATAGATTCAACATTCAGAGAAGCCAGGGCTCTGGTCTTTTTGACCAGCGTTCGAATTCGTTATGATGTATGTAATGTTGGAATTCAAGCCTTGTAAAGAGAAATATGACATTCAATTTTCTTCTGTCTTTTGGCTTTAGTTATTGTTCGTCGACGTTTCCTTAGCTGAATAATGAGCTAAAGAGCGAAACTGTGAAATCTTTTGTTGTGTTTTAAGCCTCAAAGAAAACCTCAATCCCGTTTGTCTGATTTTAAGCCATTTTTAGAGACAAAAAGTGTTCTTTCTCAGCCTGAAACTTATTCTAAACAACGAAGTTTGAAGCTTCAAGTCTGTATTGAAAACGACGAAACAAATAAATTCAACACTCAAAGATGCCAGTGCTAAACTCGGGTCTTTTTGACTAACTATCAAGAGAAATATGACATTCGATTTTCTTCTATCTTCCGTCTTATTGATTGTTCATATTTTTGGCGTTTTCTTAGCTTAACAATTAGCCAACGAGTTGAGAATAAGATCTTACTTTGATTCTATTAGCAACGATTTTGATTCATTGTACTTTAGCTTAACCCTTCAAGAAATGCTGCGATACATCTTCAGAGTGAACATAATTCCTTAGCAAAGCTAAGAAATAATATCCAAGCTTGATCCGAACTAGCAATCCCTCTTCTTACAGTATCTATTATTCCCGTTTTTTAGTTTCTCTGTTGGAAAGTTGACATTGCAATATGACTAAAGAGTTTAAGCTCTGAGACGTTTTGCAATCTAACTATTCCTAATACTACTAAGTTTTTGGCTTAGAAATGAACTACGGAAATACAGGTGTTGGAAAGAAACTTTTTGTATCCAGTTGTTCCATTCCCAGAATTTGAGCGATTTAAATCTTTATCTGACTTGGGACATTCAATGAACATCTAAAAGTAATAAACTAAAGTAACTTTGAGGCTGAAAATGATTTCATGTGTTCATTCAATTGGTTACTGTTGACTGAATTCACAGCACAAGATGTATCCTGATCTGATAAGATTGTCACTCGATTCATTTCAACTTTTCCTTGCCTTTTCTTGATAACATGATGATTAAATGAGGAAGAAGAAGAAAGTAAGCCAAGAAAGGTAAAGGTTTTTACTCGAAACGGTGAGAATGGCAAAAGGAAATGGAAAGAAGAAGAAGAAAAAAGGAGAAAAACAACAAAAATCAGTGTTACAATCAACTGTACAACTAAAACTAATTGGTATTACTTGCAAATATTGGTCAACTGATGTGGGTCTTTAACTTAATCGTAATCTTCTGTATAATAATACGCATCATAATGCCCAAGTAAACAACATCATCATCAAGAGAAGCAAAAAAAATAGGTAAACATTGATTCTGTTTTAACCTATTAAATCAATAGTCAATTATTTTCATGTTATCCAATGAAGTAAAATAACAAATGATATTATCATTATTATTGCTTATTATATCAACTATGATTGATATAGAATAATAATGTTTGACATAAATGGTAAACAATCAATCTGTATCATTTAAAGCGTTTATCAACGTTCAACTTTTTCTTGGTTCAATCCTTTTCTTCCAAGTAGCGATACAATCGACAATGGTTGCAAGATGAAAAGTGCATGGAATTATGTTCGACACGAGAATCAATTGCATCGAGGAATGATGAGGTTGGTTCATTTGACTGATGAAAATCATTTGATTGACAGTCTTTGGATCGTGTTTTTTACTCTACTCTTGGAGTCCATTTTTTGCTTTCATATTTTTTCCTCATTTTAATTGATTTTCTATGGAAGAGAAGAAAAGGCTGAAATGTTCACAATTGTATCCTTTCATGGTCAATACAATGTTTCAAGCGTTTCAACGTTATACAAAGTTTTCTAAGTGAAGTTAATCTAACTTGTCATATCAACGTAAACGTTTTTTGTTCCTTCTGTTTTCCTTCCTTCCAAGTTTACTTTGTGATCGTTTTGATGATGTGACAAAAATGAGTCTCAGAGTAAACCTTTTCCCTCTTATATTGCAAATGGTTAAGGGAAAGAAAATGTTCAGTGACTTCAATTCAGATTTTATTCACTTTGTCACTGGTTCAATGCTTTCTGGGATGTAAAATTTAGATTTAAGAAAACGAATTGGAGAATAAGAGAAAAGAGAAAAGTTTCCAACTCATCAAATGCTTTGCTCAATATAAACCAGAGAAGCTTTTCAGTCGAGCTGCCCAAAGACTGAAGCTGTGGCACGAACAATTGATCGAGAATCTAGTCCAAGTTTATGTTGATAAAAGTTTCTCTACATCGACTATTCGTAGTAAATGTTTGCTTTTTTCAAGCTAAATATTAGTCTATTTGTAACCATCTAATTGTACTTGGTTAAGATGATTGAAATGGGATCAATCAAGAGTAACTTTGCTCGTAACTGTTCAGGTGTTGATGTAAATTGACAAATCAAATGATCAATTGCAGTTGATAAAGTTCTGAGCAAAGGAAGGCGAGAAAATCAGAAGCCTTAAACGATGAGCATTAGTGACAGATGAGGAAAGATATCACGAAATGGTGAGATGATATTGATGATGAAACGATTGAAGTATGATGGGGAACAAGGAAAGAAATTGAAATGGCAAAGATTGTTTACCCTTGAAAATGAGGTGAAGGGTGAAAAGTGTGAAAAGAGAGGTAAATCATTTTCTGGACTCTAGTTGACCAGAAACCTGTCATCTGCATCACAACTGATTCAACTCAAATTATGGTCAAGTTAAAGTAGATTGAAGATCTTCACGGAAAGAGCCAAAAAATATTATCATTCATCTCACCTTGGCCCATCCTAATGTATATAATAATAATAAATAATGTTAATAATAATAAGCATTGAGAAACAAGAGTAAAGTGAAAGATTGAAAGGTTGGACAACAGGCTCATCGTCAATCACATAATGGACATGGACTGACTTACATCTTCATCATCATCACCATGATGGATCAAACCATTAACTTACCCTTGAACAAGTAAATAAGACGATGAGAAGAAGAGGAAAAAAGGCGAGATTGAGAAGAGAGAAAAAATCGAGTTTTCATAATGAGAAATGGTTCAAATTGCGAGTGTAAATGGTTCTAGACAAAAAGCTTGTCAAGCAAAAGCTCGAAAGTAA